TGGGGAAGCGGTCCGGAAGTCCATCCTCAGGAGTGCATGATCTGACCATGACAAGGGCTCTATGACTATCTCCCCCGTTTCCAGATCATTTTGCCACTGGCCAGAGACAAAAATCAGATCCAGTGTGTGACCTCCTATGTGAGTGGGTGCATGAACTAATTGGGTCATTAGATATAAAGCCTACATTTATGCTGAAACACCTTTTACTCATTTCAGCAATTTTGGGGGAATTGGCTAAGATTATAAAAAGGTAAAAAAAAAATCTTTACATGGTATTTCATAAGATTTTACACAAGAAAGTTCCTTAAACTTCAATTTATACCAACATGTCCCATATATCAGCAAGAGAATTCAGCACAATATACACTTTGTGTGCTTCTGGAAACCCCATTCCTTGCTCTTCTAATTCAAAGAAGATTTTTCTTATGAACTGGAGGTGATCCAACCAACTTTCTCCAGACTGTAGCCTTGCTCTATAGTTTTCTTATGACAGTTACTTTACAACTTGTCTCTCTTACATAAATTCTGTGTAAGACAAGCCAGTATTCTCTAGCAGATTAGTTAGCCCATGCACATGCATTAGCTGACTATCTTCCAAGCACAAAATTATGCTGGCTAGTTCTTTTTCATTTTGCTTTTTCTCTTTGTCACCAAGACGTGCTGGAGGATATTTTACACAAATCCTCCCTCTGCAGAAACATTCTCATTTTTAAGCTCCATGAGAGAAAATTAGACTCACTAAGATGAGACAAAGAAAAACCTCTTCCAATTCGTGTAACAGATAGCATTGTGCTGTGTACACAAGCTAATTGTCCTCAACCTTCCTTGGGCTCATGAAAAATCTTTCACTATCTCATCAGACTATCCTTACTCTTGAGAGAAATTTACTCCTGCTACTTCTGGGCACATCTGTGCTGATAACATGTTAAGGAATTGTGTAGCAACTGTCCAGATGAAATTGGAGACACTAAGACAAACTTTTTATATATATTATATTTAACATTTAAATTTATAACAGTCTTTGTCATCAACCAGAAAAAAAGAACACAAGATAGTCAGGAACACAAGACTATCATGAGGTAAATTAAATAGTATACAGAACACACAGAAGAAAAAGGTGGGAAAAAAGGGAAATACCCCCTTTATATTTAAGGCAACCAAGCATAGCATAGATTTCCTCATGCATGAGTCAGCACTCTCTAACTAATCTACCTCAACTGTGTCTTCTGGCCTATTACAGTATACATCAGGGGTGTCAAACTGCTGACCCACGGGCCAGATGTGTCATCTGGAAGCTGCACTCACCCCATTGCTGACAATGGCAAAACCATCCTGATACATTGTGCGACATCACATGACGTCGCGAGTTTGACATGTCTGGTGTACACTTTCCTGTTCCAGCTACTAAAGTCAATATCCTAAAATAGGGGTACTACTATTCTGTCCATGTGCTTCAATGCCCCCCCCTCAATTGAAACTGGGGAAACAGTACCTGATGGGGCTCCTAGGAGATCATCCATCTGTTGCCCCAGAAAATTGATTGAGCCGTTTCTGTGTCTTGATCCTGGTAATAAAGTACTGGGGTATCCTTTAATTGACATTGATTACTGTCTCTTATTGAGTATTATAGCTCTGCAGAACCAAGTCTACAGCACAGTTGTGGTCTCTATGTGAGGAAAGAACTGCTTCTTCATCCTTCCCAAAACATCTGGAAAATCTGTGTACTTAACAGGTATCTTAGCTTTTCCCTACTTGGGGCTTTCTGCCAGTTCCTGTAAAGGATCTGTTAATCTGCTGCTCGTATTTGGTTGATAAGATGGAGATGGAGCTGGAGTTCCAGCCTGGGATTTGAAGTTTCAGCCACCCTGATCTCAAGATGATCGGAAAGAGAAGGTGGCTGGTGACATACAGGGTTAGCAGTTCTGTATGATGGGCTATTGCTAGATATTGAAGTGCTTAGAATGACTGTAGGGATTTGTAAAGTTTAACCACTGCAAAATCTATAAAGTTGGTTCTTGCCCCAGAATCCACTAACCCTATAGTCCTTTATTCCAGTCCATGTGGTAGGTCAAGGGAACATAAAATTTCAACAATGTATCTTGATTTAGATGGGGTTGGTCTTTCTTTAATGTCTGAATATTCCCTTTTGTGAATTCTTGTGAGAGGGGATGCTCCAGTTTCCCTAGTTCTGGCCTCTGTGTTCAGCACAGTGGTCTCCCATGCCTTGTCTAAGAGGCCTTTCCCCTTTCTGGAGGCTCTGGTTAGGCAGATTCTCACTATATGCCCAGAATCTCCACAATAAAACAAACAAACAAACAAACAAAAAGTGCCAGGTCTCTAAACCTCTCTCTTTTTTCAGCAAAAGTGATCTATTTATTTCTCCTATTTGAATGGGCTCCTCTCCCCATGGCTCAGTCCTTGTCAGCAATAAGGGAGAGAAGGCTGAGTAGCTAAGCTGTGATGTCAGCTCTCCCTCTGACGTTCAAACTGGCTTTGAATAACTTCCAAGCATGAGTCGATGATAACAGAAAAATGGTACATTTGCTCCACTATCTGTTGATGTCCTTGCCTTATGAGTTCAGTGCCAATTGGTTCATTTAATCCACCTCTAAACTGAGCAATTATAGTTGGATCATTCTAGTTGAGGTTTTCCGTGATTAATTTGTTTCAATCAGAATAGAGCTGGAAGGGATCTTGGAGGTCTTCTAGTCCAGCCCCCTGCTCAAAAAGGAGACCCTATACCATTTCAGGCAAGTGACCGCCAGTCTCATCCTAAAAAGCTTCAGTGATGAAACACCCATAACTTCTGTCAGCCAGCTGTTCCATTGGTTAATTGTCTTCACACCTGGATTAGTTTCTATCCATTGTTTCTTGCCCTGCTCTCTGGTGCTTTGGAAAATAAGTTGACCCCCTCCTCTTAGTGGCAACCTCTCAAATACTGGAATATGAAATTCTAACAAAATGAAATTCAGTGATGAAATAAGTAAGGTTCTATATTTAGGCAAGAAAAACCAAATGCACAGGTATAATGTCATGGTTCCGATAGATGAGGCCAATTAAAAGAACTGTAAGACAAAGATTTCATAAAGAACATTTTATTCAGGAAACAAAGTATCAGCACTTACATAGTTGAACCCAAGACTAAAGTTCCCTCCCCCCTGATACAATGTAACAAGTTGCAATTCCCACTCAAGAAAGGCTATCATAAATCACATTCACCAATTAATCTGAAACGCGGGCTCTCCTCCCTACTTTTCAGTCTGCCAAAACTTTATCTAGAATTGACCTTGAAGCTCACCCAGCTGCAATTGTTTAGGCTAACTGAAAAAGCTCAAGCATTTTCCCCTTCCCACCTTCTACATCTGAGAATCCCAAACAACAGAAAAGCACAAAGAAAGCAAAAGGTAAAATGGCTGCAATTTCTTAATTGTCACAGTGTTGACATATAGTATAGGTGGTATCTTGCTCAATAGTAGTCACTATGAGAGGGATCTTGGAGTCCTAGTGGACAATCACTTAAATATGAGCCAGCAGTGTGCTGCAGCTGTCAAAAAAGCAAACACAATGCTAGGTTGTATTAACAGAGGGATAGAATCAAGATCGGTAGAGTGTTGAAAGGGACAAATGGTTGTATTCAACAGTCTTAGAAAATGTAGCACACCAAGTACTTCTTTTAGAATGGGCAAATATAATAAACATTGTTTGTAAGAATAGTCCTCCACAAAACTCTTTTGGCAGAAACAAAAATTCTACATATTTCTTTTAGACAGCAGTCTTTCTTTTTTCTCAGCATTTTTCCTAGCAATAAAGATCACATGGGGCACTAATTCCTCTTTATTTATTTATTTATTTATTTATTTATTATTTATTTTATTATTTAGATTTATATCCCGCCCTTCTCCTCGTAGGACTCAGGGCGGCTGACAATCAATTAAAATACATAAATAACAATACAGGTTTAAAATTAATTAAAAGAAATATTAAAGATTGTCCAATTTAAAATATTGATTAAAACCCCTCTAAAAATTACCCGAGGCCAGTCCTGCAAGCTGGAATAACCAAGTCTTGAGGGCGCGGCGAAAGGAAGGGAGATCAGGGATAACCTTTATGAGTTGCTCTCTGTGATTTAGGTCAGGCTGGAAAACAATAATGTTAAACGTTTATATATATATAATGTAATCATTCTATTCTTTTTTGTGAGCAATCTTTCCTTTTAAGAAAGTTCACTTAGGGTACTACTTTCTCTTGGTCAGTTGCTCCCTGTGGTTGAGATCAGGCCGGAAAACAATGATGTAGCATTTTGGCAAAAATATGCATCCCAGTAATGCAGCACCGGAGGACAAGATGGAGAAGACCTCTACAGCTACCAGGGTTTTTCCTTTTGTGCTCAGATAGGCTGGAAAGAAGGAGACCCACACACTGCAGAAGGCCAATATGCTGAAGGTGATGAACTTGGCTTCATTAAAACTATCAGGTAATTTACGGGCAAGAAAAGCCATAATAAAGCTGGCAATGGCCAAGATACCCATGTAGCCCAAGATACAATAAAAGAAGAAAGCTGACCCATCATTGCACTGTAAAATCATTTCTTGGAATTCTGAGTACATATTCAACTCAGGGAATGGGGGAGATGTCGACAACCAAATAATACAAATCAATACTTGGAAGAGAGAACAGGAAAGGACAGTACAAAAAGCCAATCTTTTCCCCACCCATCTCCTCATCTGAGATCCTGGTTTAGTTGCCATGAAAGCAACAACTACAGTGATGGTTTTGGCCAATACACTAGAAATGGCCACAGAGAAGGTGATACCAAAAGTTGATTGTCGGAGAAGGCAAGTCACTTTGCCAGGCTGGCTGAGGAAGAAAAAAGAGGAGAGAAAACAGAGCTGAAGAGAGACAAGTAGTATATAGGTGAGAAACCGGTTGTTGGCTTTGACAATGGGAGTCTCCCTGTGTTTAATAAATGTTCCAAGTACCCAAGATGTCAAGAAGAAGAAACAAAGAGCTGCTGAGGCTAAACCAATTCCTAAGGTTTCTTCAAATGTTAGAAAGACCAGTAGTTTCAGGATACATCCATTCTTTTCTTTATTTGGATAATGATCTTCTGAACATTCAAAACAGTCATCCATATCTGGAAAAAAAATCAAGGATACTTTTTTATCTAGGCATTCCATATTACTGAAAATCACCTTATTAATTTTATGCATCCAAGTAGTATATTAAATTCTAATGAAAATTGGAAGAATTCCTACCCTACCATTTTGATTTGAAATCTTCCCTTCTGAACATGGAACACAGTCATAACAGCAGAACTGATCCCCCTCAATCCCTTTCTTCCAGGATCCAGGGAGACAAGGGTCATTGCATTGAGAAAGTGGAAGAACCTGGTGATAAACAAAAATATGTTTTGAAAAGGAGGGTTTTTAAAACAGTTTCTGAATTTTCTCCTTTATGGAGTGAAATGATTATTGGTTTTCCAAAAGGATTCTGAATTTAACAACTTCATCAACAGTTTAAAAAGATATATAAATTGCAATGATGTACAAAAGGTCCTTTTTGAAGGGCAGTATGAGTAAATAATTACACATGTTGACAATCTAATGGAAAAGTGGCCACTCTTGTGATTTCAAATGGAAATACAAATCAAATATGCAAACATGGGTTTTAATATCATTTTGTCAATTTGAGGAATGCTTGATCATCAAAAACATTTGAAAAGAATTTGACACTGCTTATTTTTTAAAAATCAGAAATCAGATTTTTAAATATATTATGTTATCTTTGATTACAATAATTCAAAACCTGGTTAAAAGTTGGGTTCCAGATAATCACATCTTCATCAATGAATAATTCCTTCCCCTTTGGAACCAGGAGATCCATCTTTCCAACTCTAACTCTCTGAAAGGATCTGTTTGGAAAAGTGATCAAGTTGGTGATGTCGAATCCACCTGTTGCTTTCCCTTTCTCATTCAGGAACACTCTCTCCCCAGCTGAATTGTTAAAAGAAATGCCTTGAAGAAATGAATGGAGCTACTTGAAAGAGAAAAGAAGAAAACGGAAATTGAAAGCAATATAGCAGAGGAGAGAACAACGTATTCAAGTTTCATGCACTTATTCTTCCCATTCCAATAACTATTATTAAATTTCTATACTTAGAAATGTTGTAGTCAATATTGCATGGAAATGTACATGTCCACTCTATTATTTATTTAATATTATTTTAAGAAAACATAAGAATGAATTGAAGCAGAATAAAAAAATAGGCTTTTGGAATTATGTAACTTTCTTCAGTTATGTTTTAGGTCCACTGTTTAAACAACTAATTTAAGATTTAGGTAGACCTCGACTTATGACCACAATTGAGTCCAAAATTTATGTTGCTGAGAAATTTGTTAAGTTTTGCCCCATTTTATAACTTTTCTTGTTACGTTTCTTAAGTGAATCACTGTAGTTGTTAATTTAGTAACACTATTGTTAGTTGAATCTGGCTTTCCCATTGACATTGCTTGCCAAAAAGTCACAAAAAGTGACCACATGAACTCAGGACATTGCAATGGTCATAAATACAAATCAGTTGAAAAGCATCTGAGTTTTGATCACATGAGCATGGAGATGCTGCAGCAGTCATAATAGTGAAAAATGGTCATAAGTCACTATTTCAGTTTTGTTGTAACTTCAAACAGTCACTAAATGAACTGTTGTAAGTTGAGGACTATCTGTAGTTCATATCTAATCTTTCCTCATTGGTATAAAGCTGTTTGAGAATCTGAAGTCTGACTAATTTCCTTGAGCCAGATTTAGAATCAGAGACTCAAGATTTCTTTGATAGATAAATGAGAAGTAGAGACTATTGTTTCATGTGGATGTAACATCTAAGATGGACCACCACTTCATTCGTCTCAATCTCTGATAGTGACAGAGATTTAATTATCACTTATTGTACAAGCTATGGTAACTCCTACCGACATCTAAACCATGATTTTTATAACAGCTTCTGGATAATCTGAATAGCAATAACTGAAAGACAGAATAACAACAGAAACCAATTTTTTCTGTATCTAATTCATACAGCACAATATAAAAGAAGGGACCTTGGAGGTCTTTTAGTACAACACCCTGTTTAAGCAGGAAACCCTATACCAGTAGTGGCGAACCTATGGCATGGGTGCCAGAGGCAGCACTCGGAGCCCTCTCTGTGGGCACACATGCCGTTGCCCCAGCCCCGCCTCCCTCCGTGATTCCCTCCTTTCTAGCAGCCCCCCTGAAGGAGAGTTGCCCCCGAGCGTGGCCCACATGGAGCAGCACAGCCAAGGACATGGCAGCCAGGCAGCGTAGACAAGACTTTGCCCTCACACCCCATCATGCAGTTGATGCTGCAGGGTGCAGGCAGAGGGTGTGGCCGCCATAGTGCTGCTGGGCTGCCTGGTGATCTGCGGCGGGCCCTGGAGGCGGTGAATGGTCATGTGGGCAGGTGGGGCGGGGGATGGGGGGCACAGCAGGGGCGGGGTCAGTTTTTGGGCACTCAGTCTCTAAAAGGTTCACCATCACTGCCCTACAACATTTCACAAAAATGGCTATCCAATCTCTACATAAAAAGCTCCAATTATGGAGCACCTAAAATTTCTTAGGGCAAGTTTTTCCACTAATTGTTCTCACTGTCAAGTTGTTTCTCATACTTAAGTTGATTCAACATGCAGAAAATATTAAGACATTCCAAACTGGATTCAAAGGATAATTGTACATCAATCTGTTCATGGAAATAAAAGAAGTGTCCTATGCAAAGGGAATACCTGCCAAGACTGCAGATTTGGAAGATCATGTTTTTTACCCATCATAGTTTTCTTCCTAGGGAACCCCAACAAGTATAGAGCCTGCAAAGCATGAGCCACAGCATAAACAGCATTATAGATACTGTAGCTTTGTCCAGTCATTTCCATTTCAAATACAGGTGCAGGAAGATCCTCCAGCTTCATTTTCCCATTGCATTTCCTACTCTGCATTTCTTGTAACTCTAGTTTTGAAAATGAACAATCAAATGATTGTTCCCAAACATCATGTTGAAACCCATCTCTGTCATCTGAAAGAGGATTTATGGTCTGAAGAAATTCCTTAAAGCCTACAACTGATGTTGAGTGAACAGTGAAGGAAATGGCCCCATGGAACATCTGGAGATCCCATGTGATCTGAATGCCTGCTAGTACAAAATCAATCTGTGCAGTCATGATCCACACCTTTCTAAATAATGCAGTTTCCTTGCTTTCAGGATCTACTATAAATGTTACAATTCTTAGCCATATAATTGTCCAGGACTCTCCATAAACAAGAAATGCATTGGCTTTGCTATTCAACATATTAATGGAAATAATTGAGATTGTTTGATAAAGTTCTGGGAAGCCTTCCAAGTGGAGTTGTTGAGCAAGCCTTTCTATAAATGATGAGCAGATTCCGTTCTCTGAAAGTAAAGGCTGCATTTTCTGTAAGAAATTTTCTCCATTGTTGTTATCAACAGAAAATATCCCAATCCACGTCCACCTGAAATGGTGAAGCAGTTGGATAATTCCAATGTACTGATGGTCCTCTTTGGGGACCATGAAATAAAGTGAGGAGAATTTACTGGTCGGCAATTCCTTTTGGGCTAATGAGCCATATGTCAGCTAAAAGAAAGTCCAGTAGTATTCTGTTGAGTCTTTAGATTAAATATATTTTTTCTTGTCTAGTTTCCATATAAAATATATCCAAGGAACATTTACCCCCCTAGCATTCTATTAAGAAACAAATTTCTTGGAAATATTTCAAATTTATGTACTATATCAATTGATTTAATAGATGCTTCAAATCTTTTTTTTTTAAAAAAATGTTTTATTGATTATTTTAACATAGTCACCTTAATATTTGGTAAACTGTGTGTTGTCTGAGTTTACATTTAAAAAACATTAATTAACAGTTGGTTTCTATAATCCATAATCCACATAATAACTTTACTTGGTTTCCTCTTTTTCCCATAATGTTCTCTTTTACCAACCTTAAGTTAATACAATTCTTGTTGTTTTGGTAAGTAACAATTAACTATAAAAAAAATTCTAATATTTCTACAGATAATAATCATATCAATATAATATTTCTTTTCTATCTAGTCATTCTGGTTGCCTTATCATAGATCCTGTTTAGAGTTATTGTTTACATTTTCCCCACAATGTTCAAAACATTCTTACTGGTTAAGATTTTTTCAAAGTTAATTACATTTAAATATTTAAGTCTATTTTTTCTCATATAAGCCATCCCAATACTTTTACCTTTCTTAAGGAATAAATAAGACTAAAAAAAAGAAAAAAGAAGAATAAGAATAAAGAAAAATAAAAGGATAGTATGCTACTTAAAATCCATGTTTCCTATAAGCTAATATATATTTATTTCCATTTTTTTCCATAATTAAAAATATATTTAATCTTTAAATATTCCATTTAACAAATCTAGTCCTATAGTCTTTTAACTCTTATTCAAAACATTTTTTAATCTATTGTAATTTTCTTAAAGTCAATCACATTTAAATATCTAAAACATTTCCTTTATATAAGCCATTCCAACTCTTTTATATTACTCATATCAAGAAATAAAATAAGAAGAAAGAAGAAAGAAGAAATAGAAAGTACTATATTACGTGAGGGGCTATTCCCTCTTAAAATAAAATTCATATCCAAAATCTTTCTATTTCTTTAACCATATTCAAACAGGTGTTTCTTTTTTAAATATTCTCTCTGATAGGTCCCATCGTCTATTTTCTTAATTTTCACTTTAGCCCTTTTATTTTGCCCAGTATCTATCTTAATGAATATGTTCTGCTGAATCAAAGAATCTTTCTATATTCTTGTAAGTGTTACTGTAGATATAAAAGGTAAGTCAAGTACAATATCTTTGTAAGAGGCATTTGGCCATTCATATATGTTGAAAATCTTTTTCTTTCTTTTTCACTCTGTTTCTCTTATCATTTTTGTCTCTCTTCAGTTCTAGTGGTTTTCCTGACATCTTTGCAGTCCATTTTGTCCAATCTTTTTTCTTATCATCAAATTTGTTTTGTAGTATTAAAGTATAAGTTGTCTTTTCCAAATCCAGTATTTCTTGTACATTTTTTTCCACTTGGGTTAAATCATACTTCTTTGTTTTGTTAGGTTCCATCTTTAAGTCTCTATCCTCAAATTTGTATTCAGTTATCTGTTTTATCTGTTTCTTCTCTATTGTTGTTTTCTGGGATTTTTTGTTGTTGTAAAGTTAAATTGGAGATGAATTGGTTTATATTTTCAAAGTTATTTTGGATTTCTTTGTGGTTTGAAATCATTGTTGTTTGAATTAGTTGCAACATATCATATGTCTCCTCTTGAAAGGTATTTATTTTTTCTTGATAAGTTATTTCTATTCTTTCTGATTTTCCATGATGACCAATAATCCAAGTTTTCTTTTCTCTGCAAATAGCTTTGGAGTCAGAGTTAAGTAAATACTTATAATCCAGAAAGTTCAAAAATGTTTTTTTTGTTCCCTAACATTTATAAGTCTCTCTTTGTCTGCAGCCCAGATTGTTTTCTTTTATGTCACAGCTGTTCTCTATTGTTAGAGCTTTGAAGGTCAAAAGTAGAAATTAGTTTTTTTCAGATTTTGCCATGTCCTGTATGAAAGCCATAGGTGTCATAGTTTTTATCCACCACTAGATGTCAGCACCAGTTTATTTTTCAAATTTTCAAAACGAACAAATTGCCTTTAAAATGAGAATCTTAACCATTCAGCAATTTCAAACAATTTATAGTCATTTCATTTCATTTCAATATGTTTTAGTCCTCCATAAAGGTTTAATTCACTGCTTCCATTAGTAAAAGGGTGGAGCAAAGATCCCCTTCCTTTACTTTTGGAGGTTTTTTGCTTCTTTGGATTTTTTTTCTTCAGGAAAGTTGATAAGTAGGATAGAGAAAATCGATGTTTTTACCCAGATTCAAATGCGCTGTTTACAATCAGCTTAAAATAGTGTTTTTGACTTCGGTTGCTTGTAGCTTGGGCTAGACTCTGAAGTTAGGCTAGCCTTTCTCCTGTTAGTTTCTGGAAGACTTTTTCCTGGACCGATCAGGTCAACAGACATCTCTCTATGGTCCCCTGGACTTCCTTCCGTCTTTGCCACCTCTTCGTGGCGGCTTCTGGCCCATTTAGGGTCCCCTAACAGGAAGAAATTCAACCGAAAGACACAGAGCCCTGAACCCCTCAACTGCTGCATTACTGTGCAGGACCAGAAGTTGAAGCTGTTCAAATCTTCTTGCAGGGCTGAATTTCTGTGGAACCTCACTTCCTTTTTTATAGATATTTTATTAGGTTTTTATAATTACAAGTTTTTAGTGCTTAGTAAACAATGTGTTGTCTGGGTCCAGATATTTAATATTATTATTATTATTATTATTATTATTATTATTATTATTATTATTATTATTATTATTATTATTATTATTATTATTATTATTATTATTATTATTATTATTAATAATAATAATAATAATAATAATAATAATAATAATATGCTGAAGAAACAGTAGACCACCTGGTAAGCTGCTTCAAGAAGATCACACAGACTGACTACAAGCAATGGCATGACAAAGTAGCAACAATGGTGCATTGGAAGATCTGCAAGAAATATCATTTACCTGTAAGCAAGAACTGGTGGGATCATAAAATAGAAAAAGTCATAGAAAATGATAAAATTAAACTACTCTGGGACTTCAGAGTTCAAACAGACAAGCACCTGCAACATAACACCCTGGACTTAACAATTGTTAATAAGAAAGACAAAAAAGTCTGGATAGTGGACGTGGCAGTGCCTGGAGACAACAGAATAGACGAGAAAGAACTGGAGAAGATAACAAAATACAAAGACCTACAAATAGAAATAGAAAGACTGTGGCAAAAGCAAGCAAGGGTAGTACCAATAGTAATAGGTCCCTTGGGTGCAATCCCAAAATAACTGGAGTACCACTTGAACACCATTGGCATTGACAAATTCACCATTAGTCAATTGCAAAAGGCAGCCTTACTAGGAACTGCTTCCATCCTGCGACAATATCTGTAATACCATCAAACATCCCATCTGCCTATCCCAGGTCCTTGGTAAGGACTCGATAGGTAGACAAAAATGCCAAATCTAATGTGAACATCTGGCTGACTGTGTGATGATCAATAACAACAACAACAACAACAACAACAACAACAACAATAATAATAATAATAATAATAATAATAATAATAATAACTTCTTCAATATAAGTCTGTTTAATATTACACAATCCAGTGTTTTTTCCTGATCCTCCTTTCTTCCCACATTGTTTTCATTTTCCCAACACTGTGCAAATACAGTTCTTGCTACTATTAAAACATACAAAATTAAGTATACACATCCTCATCATGTTTTTCTAATGTAATACAGACAATATCAGTTTATAACCTCTTTTCTAACCAGTTTATATTTCAATTGTATTTGCAATTAAAATCTCTTTATTAAATCAATATCCTGTTTTTCAAGCTTTTATTTAAGTTTAATTTCCCATCAGTATTCGAGATATTAGTTATGATTTTCTCAAAATTAGTTATATTTGTGTAGCTAAGAATTTCATTTATAGAAGCCATCCTAGTGTTTTCATATTTCCCATGTCAAAATTGTGCTATTCTAATTATAAACCATGTCTTTCTTATTGTAAAAATCTATTTATATCCAAGGGTTATTTATTCTTTGAAGCATATTCAAACAAATATTTAATCATATAATGCCCCCTCTGGTAAGTCAGATCTTCTGTTTTTTAAGTCTAACTCTAGCATTTTTCCTTTGCCAAATACATTTCAAGGCCAAGGCAATTAAATCGCCAAAGGATCTTTCCTTTATTTTTGTGGGTGCTGCTTTGAATGTGAAAGACAATTTAAGTAGGGTGTTTTTGAGAGGGAATTCTGCCCATTTATATTCCTTAAACAACTCCCACTTTCCTTCTCCCTCAACTTCTCTTTTCATTTTTTGTCTCCCAATTTCTGGCATTTCCCCTAACAGCTCTATAGTCCATTTTTAAAGATCTTCTTCCTTGTCCTCTGGTATATCTTGAAGACCTAAGAGATAGAGTGCCTCTTCCATTTCCATTTTTGTAGCTAAGTCTTGCAAGGTTTTATTTTTCTGTGCCAGTTTGTATTTCCCTTCTTTTATATCTTACATCTTTGGATCAATTTCCTCTAATTCATCTTCTGTTTTCTGAATTATTTGTTCATACTTTGTGGTAGTTTTGGGGATGCTTTCTAGTTGTAAGTTTAAATTAGCGATTTGCTCATTTATGTTAACTAAATTGTCTTTAATCTCCTAGGTTGGACTAGATGACCTCCAAGGTCTCTTCCAACTTTATTATTATTATTATTATTATTATAGTTTCTTCTTGTATGTTCTTTATGTGAGACAATTGTTTGGTAAATCGATTGCAACATAGAATATATTTTCTTCTGGAAAGTATTTGTGTTTTCTTGAGCATCTCTCCTGCAGATCCTTGGTAACCCTGGCTGGGAGCTTCAAATAGAAATGTTGGGTATGTTTTCTTACCACTTTTAGCTAGATATGAATTATCCATTTTATTTCCCCTTCCAGATATTCTGTCAACACTGTTGTGATCTCCAAGGACTAGTCTAATCTAATATCACCAATCTTAATGTCAATAGAAGAAAGTCTCATCTAGTTCTTCTGGTCTTTATATATAGCCTTTATAATCTAATAGATTCTAGGATATAAGTCCAGAATTAAAAGCAGTGTTTTGTAACAGTCCTTCTGTTCAGGTGTCCAAGAATTGTCAGTCAAGCAGAATTTGCAATCCACAATATTCAAAGTGTTCAAAATGATTAACAAACCTTAAAACAATCCAAAAGTCCCTCCCAGATAAACATAGCCAAAAGTCAGATTTTTCTTTCTCTTCAAATAGTTTTTAAGATTAAAAGTCAGAGCTCAGTAGATGTTTATAATCCAAGAAGGTCAAGGTAGTAAGTATACCAAAATATTTTTCTCTATTTGCCAGCTGTTCTCTGTTAAGCTAAGAGTCACCAAACCACAAAGAAGCTAGCTTGTTATCTATTTCTAGGTGTTTTGCCAGGTCAGCATCATACTATATCAATTGATTTTATAGAAGCTGTTCCAATGGCATGTCTATGGATCCTCACTTCCTGTATCTGGCATTGCAGTTTCAGAAAAGAATGCTAAGTAATAGACCTTAAACCATGCAGAGGATCTTAACAGAAACCTAAGCCTAATCTTTGATGCCCATTAATGAATCCATAACAACAATAAAATAAAGAATTTTCATCTCAACTCCTTCAGAACTTACTTGTGGAATCTTGAAGAATCCTATAATTTCAGCTATATAAGATGATGTGACAAAATCCAATCCCCCAATGATAGCCATGAGATTCTTCTGGCTATCACATTTGTAATTAGGGACAAATTCCTGGGATTTGAAAAGCAGGTCCAGAGTGGTACGATAGGTCATCCTTGAATTGTAGTAACTGTCATAGATGTGGAACCCAAGAGTGACATTAGGTAAGATCTGGGAGTCCTCATTGACCTCCTTCACAGCAAAGGCCAAGGCAAGAATGTGCTGGTAGAACTTAGTTATTACACTGCAAATGATTTAAATACCCCAGTTGAAAAAGGAAATTGACCATTCTCATAAAGTGCATCATTTCTACATGAATAACAAACATTTATTTCTACAATAAGAGTAGGAAAGTAATAGATTTTCTAAAATGTTGAATAATTTGTACAAACTTCAATTTTGCTTTTTCCACATAATTGCATAATTTTCAACAAATATCTGTTACAAGAAATAAAAATAGTGTTTTTTTTCATGGAACCACATTTATTTTCAAGCATTTTTTCCCCATAAAATACAATATGAACAATTCCAGCTTGTATCAGTCATTTATTGTATATATGTTTTGTTAAGAATGGCAATACAGATTTTTTTTTAAAAAAAAAAATTACCTTAAGCTTACTAAATGTACTTCAAAAGATGTTTTGCACTAAAGTTTCATACATAATATTACAAATACTTTACCATAAAGAAAAGAAAATAGTTTATTCTCCCATAACCAGAAACATTTGAAAGAGAGGGAGACTTAGATTAGATATAAAGCCTACATTCAGGCTGAAAACCTTTTACTCTCATCAGCAATGTTGGGGAAATGGATTAAGATTAGAAATAAAATCCTTACCTTGGTAAGTCATAAGATGTTATACAAGGATGTTCATTAAAATTAATTCCATTAAGGTTGTAAAAGATGTGGGACACTATGCCACCAATGACAAGGTCACCAGGTTGGTACCACTCATGTGGGACAAGGAAAGCATCACTTGCAGGACAGCTCAGAGTCACTATTTTCTTCACCAGGAACACCAGGAGAAGCAACATCTTTACTCTTGAAAAATGTCTCTGTCTTTCATCCTATCCTACAGAAAAGGTTGTATTATCCCAATAGTTCATCCAGTGATTAATTCAAAATTTATATCTGAAAGTGCACCTAATTAGAAAAACCACCATTGGGTATTTGGAGATTCCACAAGAGAGCAAACTGGTGTCTTGAAGAGTATCAAGGTTTAAACAGATATTCTAGTAGAGGAGAATAGAGGGAGGAAACTTGTAGCAATGACTCTGACACACCATTATTATTATTATCCTTGTTCTAATCTCCCTGGGGTTCAAGATATGTTGATTGTTGTTGAATTGAAATATGTTTTTGCCTGTTGAAAAAAATATGGTGATTCCTGTAGGAGATAATTGCTTTGTTTTTGATGAGAGAATAAATGGCCGATGTTTAAATGCTTTTTAAAATACACAATTGCTAATAAAATGTACAAAGGTGAATTTGCAATACAAAATACATTTGATTTTTGAATTTGTTATTTTTTTTTACAATGAATGATAAATGCAGTTCACCTTTCTTTGCATAGCATTAAGTTGCATAAAGCTTTTGCCATTCCCTCACTTTCCTTTACATAGCATTAATATGCATACAGTAGATATTTTGGCATTCCCTCATTTTAAGAAGTTTTGTATGATTTCCTTCCATATCCCCCTAGAAGGGAGAGTCAAATCTCTATTTTTTCCACAATGTATAGGTTCTGTTACATTTTTAGTTAAGTTAACCATGAGCAGGCAATACATTTTTTTTAATTCTATTTGGAAATGGACATAGATCATATTGTGGGTTTGAAATCCTTTGTGGACCAATTCCAGCAGAAGGTTTAATTCCATAGTAAAATCTGTGGTCATCTACACCTCATAATTTCTAAAGAGAGGAAAGTTGTTCTCTCCTTTTTTTATTTCCTTCTCCCTTTTTCTCTCATCCCTTCTTCACTTGCATATCAGATTTCATTTTATTGTCATTGATGAACAAAACAGTAGTGAAAATTCCATAAATTAGCATGCAGGATTGCTGTCTTCACTGTAGATATTTAGTTGATGGAATGAATAAAGTAGAAAACAGGCAATGGAGCCTAACGTTGGTTTCTAATTTGTCTCTTTAGATAATCAACTTAATGACAGAAGCCAGAGTTTTGATTTACCATGTGAGAAATGCAGAGATTGAAAGCCCTCTTTCTCCTTAAATTTGGAAGAGGTTTCCTCTGAAAGTCACAAAAGGGTTGCTAACCAAAAATACGAGTACATCATAAGACCAAAGAATGATGTTAGTAAACATTAACAGCAAAAGACAATTTCTAGGACAATTTCACCCTTCGCTGCATCCATTCCATACTTTTTTGGTCCAAGTTGGCTGAAGTTTAATTTTATTTACCAGCTATTTCTCCCTTATTCCTTTCTCCCCAGATTTCTTTTTCCAGGTGAAACCAAACTACAATTTTCAATTACTTTTCATTTCTACTATATAACTTGTGAAGTGAGACGATTATCAAATAGAACTTGAAATTGTGGAAACAATGGCAGATGGAATATCTTCATCGGTCTTTGTGGCAAGGAGACTGTAGTTGTTACAGCAATTAAGACCATTGGTAGAAACCATCCTTAGTACTTCCTGAGATCTTTTAATATCATTTTTAAAAAATCTTTGTCCCTCAGTTTAGTTTTGCATACGAACTGAGGCAATTGCTGTGCTGCTTTAAATACATCAAGGATACCAGTAGTACAATCAAGCAAAAGGTACATAGATATGAAGTGAATTCTGGGATGTTTGAGGAAACTAGTCATGTGTTATATGTAAGAGAACAAAATATTAGGAGTAGCAATTTCCTACCTGCTTCCCAACATTAGTTTTATTTTCTGAAAAAAATAAGTGCCAATGAACCCACATAATTTAGAGAGCAATTGCAATAGGAAAGAAAGGAAAGAAACTTTCTCCTCTGACTCTTACTTTTCTTACAAAGTATGTTTGTGGGCTCAAAATGTCACCTTCTATGCACTTTATACTGATAAATAATGAATATTGAGATTTTTCCCATAGATCCAGATGTAGTCAAAAGAATGTGAAAACATTACATTTCCTACAGGTATTAGGACTGGGCAGTGGGTGGTCAGCTGATGGGTGGGTGGATGAGAGGGAGGGAGGAAGGAAGGGAGGGAGGGAGGAAGGAAGGTAGATTTTATCTAGATTCTTCTAATAAGTGCAAACTCTTCACTGAACCTAGCTTTCTAGGAGCTTATTTATACTTCGTTTTGGATCTTTACATTTTGTTCAAATTGTATATGTCTTAATTCATTTTTAAAAGATTTTGTTCAAATTGCATATGTCTAAATATGTTTTTAAATAATACTATGAAGTTCTTGAGTTTTTTCTTTTCTCTGATAGCCATGCCAAAATTTGAGTATGTAGTTTTAGAGAAAGTGACAATATGTTTTTCCCCCTGATGTATGTGAATTCTAATTTTTATTTCTCTTACTTCTTTAGGGTCGCTTTCAGATGTGCAACATATATATTCAGGGCCTGAAACTGTAGAACCAGGGCAAAATCTCAATTTGCTCTATAAAGTTATCTCCATCACTACTAGTGGCTATGCTTGGCATTGGGTCCATCAGTCTTCAGGGAAAGGCTTAGAATGAATTCCTGGAGTCTACTCCTATGATGGGGATAAATGGTTTTTATCTTGTCTTCAAAGCCACATCACCTTTGCTTCAGACAACTCCAAAAATGAGTTTTCCCTTCAATTGAACTCCTTGTCAGTTGCTGACACTGCAATGTATTAGTGTGCTAAAGACTCACATTGACAGATTTTGCCTGTACTTCTGAGCAAAAACAGGAAGCTGATTCTGATTGTGCATTTGTGTTCCAGATCAACATTGTGGACAATGTAATCATATGAGCTCTTGGTAGAATATATCTCCCAGAAGAGTACCAGAAAGACTGGACCTAGCCAAGAAGTGGAAATTCAGCATAAACTTTGAATAAAGGATGAGGAAGCAAGAATACATTTCATTTATTAGTTTTCCATATTATTACAATATGATAATTGGTTACAGTGGACCTAGATTAATAGAGAAAGAGTGAATTGTTATGATTCACCAGGACATTTTAAAAACAAAGTTAAATGTACAGCATTCATAAACTATGATATTGGGTTAAATTTATGCCCATAAAATGCTATTCATAATTTTTAGTATATTTATGCAGTGGTTTATAAATAGAAAATATAAATATCATGAAAGTAGCATGTTAAACATTGGAGATGCTTTGAGTCAATAACTGAAAAGTCCTAACAGAACATGAGAAATCAATTTTCTCAAAGTCTCTTGAAGTAGAGTGTTGAAAAGGACAAAGGGTTATATTCAACAATCTTGGAAAATGTGGAAAATGCAGCACCCCAAGTACTTCTTTTGGAATGGGCAACTATAAGGGATATCGCTACTAAGAATAATCCTCCACAAATCCTCCTTTGACAGAAATAAAACCTGAAGATGGAGGTTCGTTCTCCGAGCTTATGGATTGGTGTCCAAATGTTTCATTACCAGGCTTCAGTGGAATTTAGGGGATATTAGTGTCAGTGTTCTTCTGCTTATAAGGGCTTCATGTGGTCAGTAGGTCTTGTGATGGGGAGGTCACGTCAAGTGAAAGTCTTTTGATTGCTCTTGTGATAGGTAGGTCATATCAGGTGAGAGTTATTGGGAGGTAAAGTTGCATGGGTTGGTTGTGGGTTGGTGTGGTTGCTTTTTGGCTGTGCAGTAGATTTGAATTCTCAGGAGTTCATAGGCTGGTTTTAGGTTGATGTGTCAGTTGATGGAATTGCTTCTGGAGTGCCATGCTTCAATAAACTTGCATGCATGGCAGTTGATAATGTGGCCAATGATTCTTGTATTGCTCCAATTGAACTGGTGCTGTTCAGTGTCAGTGTGGGTAGAGATTATGGATTTGGGATCATGGCGATTGACTACCAGCTGGTATTCGTGGACTCTGGTTTCAACACTATTGCAGAAATAAAACTTATATATATTCCCTGTAGATAATAAGCAGTATTTCTATTCTTTTTTGTCAGCAATTTCTCCAACGAAGAACGATCACACGGGGTACTAATTTCTGTTTGTAAAAAGAGGATGGATGAGGCAGAAGCAAGAATATATTTTATTTCATTTCACTATATTTCTCATATTATTAATATCTGATAACTGGCTGCAGTGGAAATAGATTTATGGGTAGAGACTGAATAGTTATGACCCAGCAAGAAAGCCTTTTTGAAAATGCAGTTAAATATACAGGATTCACAAGCTCAACAAATTTTACATTTTAAAGAACATTAACAAATCCAAAGTTGATATCCTATGATATTGTGTTAAATATATGTTCATAAAATGGTAATCATTTTTTACTGTATTTATGTAACACTTTAGGAATTGATAGTATAAAAACTATGAACATGTCTCTGCAAACATTGGACATCATTTGAACCAATATCTGAAATATCCTAACAGGAACAAGAAAGGTAGATGACCACTTCCGGTTTGAGTTCCTGTGCCGATGGCGGCGTTCTCGTTCGCCGCCTGCTCCGAGGACGCGTAAAAGCCGCAGGAGCAGCGTCAAACAGCTGCTCCGCGGCTTGAATCCCCTTCCCGGGCAAAGGGGAGGGGAGAGAGCTTCCCAGATAGGGGTAGAACTACTGAGCTCCCACAGTTTTACAGCTGTGGGGGTGGA